AGAAACTTCGAATGGGTCAGTTGGTTGGAAATAAAAAGAATGAGGAGATGGATATGAAAGTTTCACTCCAGATGCCAGAGAGTCTTGTGTTTCATTTAATAGTGACATAGTTGTATGAGCAAGGTTTTGACCGACAGTTGCGAAAAAGGAATTACAATAATTGAGGGATTCTACTGGATCACTTTTTATTGTAAGTAGATTTTTTGCAGTACTCTTTTTAGTATTTTTATGAATTATTTTATTAATACTATTCCAAAGAGGTTTAGGTTTATTTATATTTTGCTGAATTAATCCACTTTCGTACTCCCTTTTCAAACGCCGCAGTAGGGAATTATAAAAATTTCTATATTTAATATATGTAGACTTCTTTATCGGATTGTCAGGATGTTTACGTGAATCAGAGTGAAGTTTATCTCTGCGTTTGGCACACCTGAGCAACCCTGGGGTCATCCAAGACTCTTTAGTGTATTTAGAGTGACTAACTTTATATGTGTGAGTGTGTTTTTTTACAATCTTCATGAATATATCCGTGAACAATTCAGTGGCCTCATTTACAGAAGTACTATTAAGAATCTCCGTCCAATCCACACAAGCTAACTCTGTCTTTACAGCTTCATAATTAGTTTTTTCTCTTTGTCTTTTATTAGAAGATGGTTTTTGTAAAGAGTTATCCATTCCCAACATGATAGGATTATGGTCGGTAATATCAGCAGAACATATGATGGATTCATAGCTACCATAGTTACGAATGAAAAAATGATCCAGACAGGTTTTGTTATGAGTAGGTTTTTTGACAGCACTTGAAAGTCCCAGTTCGGCCATCAAGCACAAATACTCTGAAGATAGTTCATAAGTCTTGGATGTATCAGCTATATCAATGTTTATGTCTCCAGTGATAACTAAACAAGGACCCACAACGAGAGTCTTGAGGTTAGACTCCAAAGAGCTCAGAAATCTATTTGAATTGCTAAAACTTTCAGACGGAGAGCGATAGATGCCAAGTATTGATAAATGTTTGGATATAGCTACCAACAGGGAATTTGCTCCTTCAATATCGATTTCGACTACTTTTGGGGAAAATATGTTGCTAATGTAAATAACTACGCCACCTGCTCTGTTTATATATTTCGATGTTTTGAAGGCTGTGTATCCAATGATGTCCTTGATAATCGAATTTTCATTTAACCAACACTCGGTAAGAATTATAGCATCAAATTTAGTATCCAGCCGAGTAAGGAGTATTAAAAAATTGACAAAATTTCGCTGTAGACTCCTTATATTAAATGTAAGAATTTTGGTATTATACTTTGCGAGTATGGTTTTGCTTTCGTCCGGGGATTTTAAAGTATGGCTTTCTTTTTCTATGGCTTCGTCAATTTCTTGTATGATGTCGTAGGATGCCATATCTATATAAGACACATAGTATAATAAAAGAAGCTGGAAACCTGAGGCCATACTTATGACTGAAATATAATACTTTTGTATTTTTATGTATATAAGAAATTATATCCTGTGGTAGTGCAGTAGAAGTAACGGTACAGTAAGTATACTGTTGTTGTGTGTAAGATTTTTGAATGAGTATTTGAGTGTGAGCTATAACATTACATTTACAATAGCGAATATTGGTGAGTAGATAATTAATAATGAAGCTATGGTTACAAATATTATAAAAAATCAGCAAAAGCAAATACATGCAACACAATTCTAGCAATAGTATTACTCTGATAATATTAAATAGTTTCCAATGTAAAAACATAAAGCATACTGAACAAAAGCACAATGATACATATGCGCGACAAGCATTCCGCACAAGCACAGCAGACTTAATAGAGTTTGGCTGTAAACTCATCGGCAGTAGCGATAGCGGTTTCTTTTGCCCGCAGGTTGACTGGGCACTTGCAAAGCAGGTCATCGTAAGAAGCAATATAGACAGCAGGTTTACCTGTACGTTTGCGAACATATATTGAACCATTCCTTGTCCAACAGTATTTGAAATCAGCCTCCTTTGCACGTATTCTGGCATCGCGAAATAACTGTCGATTGGCTCTAGTAAGGCGCTCATTTATAAATATTTTCCGCTCAGGACTATTCAAAACGATGTCCTTACTATTCAAATCACGACGTGATTTGGCGGCCCTCAGAAAGTCCTCTCGTATCGCCTTGCGAGTAAAACGGACTACAAGTGGACGTGGAATTTTATTTTCTTTCCCATCTCCGTTAGTACGGCGAAATCCGGTTCGAGCAACGCTATCTATGTCACCCTCTGTCATGTGTATTCCAATTTTTGAGGCAGTGACTAGAGTCAGATGATAAGGATTTTCATTGTTGACTTCTTCTAGTCCGATAATTTCGACCTCATTACCAAGAGACGATTGCGCTTGAATGTCTAATTGCCGTTGCAACTGCTCAACCGTTTGTTTTAGTTGGTCACATTCCCTTTGACTATCCTCTAGTGACTGTAGACGGGCTTCTGTGTTAGTAAGCTTGTCGACAATATCATCCAAGCGAAGGTGGCAACGAGCCACGGCGGCAACCACTTCCGACAATTCATTTTTAAACTCTGTCATCGTTTCCCGAAGGAGACGCATTTCGTTAACTATTGAATATGTATCATCGTCGTTTGATTGGTCACCGTTTCTACGCGTTGCCTTGCGGATGGTGACGTTACTTGGAGATGCAGTGGAGCGTACCGGGGTCGAGGAGTTATCTCCGCCTCTTTTTGTAATAGCCTTGCAGTCAGGGCAGATCCATGACTTTACTGATTCCAGCGGCAGATTTGTGGCATTAGTACATAGTAAATGAAATTTTTTGTGACAGCGCTCCACTCTGCATATGATGAAATCGTCATCTCGAATTACCTCTGGGCAAGCGGCGCACGTAACGTTGCCTCCGGTCCTCGGCATATTGCAACCTGTACTATGATCGTAGCGACAGGAAAGCGATGAAAGTCGATAATTGTCGCTTGTTACGTGATTTCGTTGTACAGAGCCCAGCGACTTGTCCGCAAGGATGAGTCACGCGTAACTCGCCGGGTCGTGCTTGATGTTTACTTAATTGCACAATGGGTAGTTTGAAATTTAACTGATACTCAATCACTTGTCACGTTAATATCTTGTAAATTATTAGAAATTATATAATTTGTGTTCAAAATAATTAAAGAACGTGTTGTAATTAATGTTTTGATATACGTTTCAACCAAAATATCAAACTTTAGATCACAAAAACTATTTTATAACCAGGAATACAAACAAACGCGTACGTACTATAGGCCGTTCTATGACTCACACTCACACATTTAAAAGTATATTTTATACATTAAAAATTAAACGATGTTATTAACTATAAATTATATTTAGTATAGAAATACTAAATCATACCTGATGTGGTTCTAGTTCAAACACGTTGAATATGAGCTTGATACGGTGACCTGGTGTAGTCGAGAACTGCCACACGCAGTCTTTCCTTGACGGGTACAAATCCGGATAGTTTGGGCTGTGTTTAGAAAAGAAGACATTCAATAAATACTAGTACAGATTCTATGCTATATCTGTACTATCTATACTAATATTTTTTTTAATGGATGATAATAAAATAGTAACGCTGTCTGCGTTAGCGGTATACACTGGCGGGGTACAATTGAGAGATGATAGGTGAGAATGAAAATGCAGGTCAGTTAGACCATCGTGACAAATACACCTGGAATTCAGCGCGATGTTTTCCAGTGGGGAGCAGGTGGAGGTCGACCTGATAGGATATACTGCTAGCAATGGGACAGGTAGTCCGCATTACTACGCTTTTTTTTAGATAGACTTTCCCCATAATGAGATTTTTGTCAGTACTTGCTATTCTTTGCAGGCGGTTTGACAACCGTAGTTAGTTAGTTGTTTTAAGAAGGATGTTGCCGCCCACCTCTCCATTATTATGTTCCCTTAATCGCTTCTTACTATACCAACGGAAAGGAAGGGTGGCCCATTCTATGCCGGGACCACATGATATACATACAAGCCATAGAAGCCATCTTCAATATAAATAGATACATTCATAAATAATTTTTTTGTATTATACAGGAATCGAACCAGCGACCGTCGGAAAGAGAAGCAAAAGCCAAACCACCTTATGTACTCACCTTACAATGGTGCCATGCGGTTGTGTAACATCATGCTTACAACCGCCTTCCTTGCAGTCGTGTTTATTCGGGTGTAGGGTGAACCCACTGTGGCAGGCGCACTCGTATCCTCCCAGGGTGTTGTGGCATTCGTGCTGGCATCCGCCATTGTTGTCCGCACATTCGTCTACATCGATATAGTACACTGCTGCGAAGCCCGATCGGTGAACTGACGCGTCAGATGTGAACTGCAAAGAATATTTACAATTCTACCATGTAAATGGTGCAAAGCAGGTGTGGTTTTTTTTATAGGTGAAAATAGAATGGTAATCTCGCCCGTACTTTTGGTATACGTTGGCGGAGAACCAGTGAGGGATGATAGGGATGATAGGTGGTGTATCGTAACTAGTTCAACAAGAATTAACCTCATAGTATATGTTGCTAGCAATGGGCATTAAAAATGGATTTAACAAATCCTATTACTAACGAGCTCTTTCCCCCGAGCGGATGTGGTTGCATGGTTGTGTTTCGGTTTAAAGGTTATGGCAGTGAAATTATAAGGTAGAAAAACAATATCTTAGTTATGGCAATGCATGAGGCGTCATAGTATATTATGTCCATGTGTTGTTCGTAGGGACAACACATGGACGTTCGTAGGGTAACTATACGTACAGTTACCACTCCATCAAGAGGATTAGCAGCTTGTTTGCCATTGTAAGTTGCATATGGTAAAATTAGTAATTCAAATTATTATATCCAACAGTATGGAGAGTATGATCTGAGGTATATTTGGCAAAAATATGAATGAGATAGATTTAGAACTTGGCTAAGATAAGGACATAAAAAAAATTTGATGCCTTAGCTAGAAAGAGTGATGACGAATCTGATGTAGAGAGTCAGTAGATTCCCAAGACAGTTTATGAGGAAGATATATATTCAGCAGCGGACTGTGAATGGTTAAAATTACTGTAGGTCGACTAGTAAAGAATATCTATAGCATTATGTCCGCCTTTCGTACCACATTTTATTGGTCTATCTATCCATCTATCCTATTTAAGAGCTGCGCTCTTGTCGGTGGAGCTACGATTTTCAGCGAGTCTCTTCACCTCTTGATACGACATGACACCAACTCCTTCCTTGATCTGCCTGATGTAACTATGTCTCGGTCTCCCTCTCCCCCTTCTTCCTTCTATCTTACCTTCTATTATAATGTTCATAAGTTCGTCGTGTCATATCAAGTGTCCTAACATTTTTCCCCTTTTATCCTCAATAGTTCTAATAATTTGTCGTTTTTCCTTTTTGTCCTAAGCAGGACCTCCTCAGTGCTAATTCGATCCCTCCAGCTAATTTTCTCCATCCTTCTCCAGCACCACATTTCAAAGGCTCCAAGTTTATCCATTTCCTTCTGAATTTTATTGGTCACCAAAGTTTAAATAAATAAATGCTTAAAATGATGATGATGATAAAATGGTACTGGAAGTATACCTGAACTCTTAAAACTGAGCCGTCCGATGTAACAGGTGGCGGTAATGCGTTGCCACAGAAAGCTCCGTGTCTTCTTAACACGTCTGCTCCTAACTTGGAATGAACCGTTACACTGTCATACTCGCATTCCTGAAAATTGCCATTATATAAATGCAAAATAATAGACAACAAAGAGTATCTATTTATTTATATGTGGTTGTGATGATGGTTGTTTAATTACCATCATACATATTAAGACTAACGTATCATGGAAGATTTTAAACAATATTACAATACTGGCATAGATGGCTAGCAAGATGGCTTAAGATAGAGTTCAGGAAAGAAGTATAAAAGACAAAACAAATAGAGCAGCTACTATTTAGAATCGAGACCTATAGTTACTGTTGATTATTTTATAATAATTTGAGGCTAAACTTCTAAATTGGCGAGTGCTTTTATATATTTTCTATCAACATAGTAATAATTTATCGTAATTTTCGTTATTCTTCTCTTGTATTGTACAACTTTGTAAAAAAGATATATTAGCAAGAAACATTGTAATTGTGTGGGTTATAATTCATTTAGGAAAAGATCACGTATTATCTATTACTTCACTATCATACACAATAATAAAAATCACTCGACAATTTAGAAATTTTACCTCAAAATATCTTTAATTACAAAGTAATCAACATAAACCACAAGTCTCTAAGTGTCATGTTATTTAGTAACCAACCACCTTAATTAAGTTTTTTTAGGATTTGATTGAAATTTTAGTGATATATAGTAGTGAAATATAGTAATTATAGAAGTGTAATGTAATTAAAAATATATATATATACACAACATGAGGCATTTAACCAAAACTTAATATATCTGACCTGTTGATACATGCTGTTGCCTTCTAAGTCGAAATGGGTGAAGTTCAATGTGATTCTGTGCTGTGGTGGAGCCACGATCTCCCAAAGGCAATTCTTAGACGGCGGATATAGGTCCGGGAACGATGGTGATGTTATCGTGCCATTTGGACCGTACAGAGCTCCTCCGCATGCATCTTAAAATTTAATATTGAATCGTCAATATCATATACATAAGAAGTGAGTCTTACGAGGAAGTCAGTAAATGTTATGTAAGAGATTTATCATCATTCTCTGTCGACTGTTGAACATAGGCCTCTCTCATAGACTGCCATAAGGAATGATCCTGAGCCACCTGCATCTACTGATTTCCTACGATATATTATGAGGGATTAAAGGTTATGCAGGGTCGTCAACGCGCGCATAATGCCTCTGGTATTGCAGGCGTTCATAGGATACGGTAACCGCTTACTATCAGGTGGGTCGTATGCTTGTTTGCCACCTCAGTGGTATAAAAAAAAAAGGTTATTTATGCATTAGTTTATATCCAGAATTTTATTCTCGTAAGCGGGATTTATCTGTTGACCTGAATCAACAGTACTCCATACAGTTCTCCATCCCAAATAATACGTGTACTTATGTAAAATTTCATGGCAAAAAGTTGAAAGCGTTAAGATGCTAAGAGGTAACAAACAAATTTTTTATAATATTAGAACTGGTAAAAAATGTAATATAAAAAAAAAATATATGAGTTTGAAATGGATAGATACAAGAGACGAAGAGATAGAAGAAAAATGAACGTGGACAGTCTGGGTGAAACTATTGTAATTGATACTTAGAGAGCAAAGACAAAAACATGTAAGAGATTTCTATCAGGATACTTTTTTTAAAGAGTATATTTTATTGTACTATGTGGAAATGTCGTAGCTGATGGTTTTTTTTTAATTATATTTAAGACAGCATAAGCAAAGAGAACTAGAGGATTTTCATAAACAATAATAAAATGTTCAATTCTTTTGTGTTATTCTTAATTTTGTGACGATTCAATTAACATAGAATGTCAAACTTTTGAGTAAACTTCAAGATGTGGTATTCAAGTTTCGGTCAGTTACAGAAATTCAATATCACTCACAAACGAGTGTATTATAATGAGAGCGAAATTTTCAACTTCTGTTGGCAACTGTTCAAGTATTAAAACAAAAAAAAAATGCCGTGAAATGAATATTCAATTTTTACAATATCTAAAGTTATTTACGTCCCTAGTATTGCAAACGAGTGGAGTGTTTGGTACAAGAGAATCAGAAAGCTTTTAGAAAGTTATAAACTTTAGGATGAAGAATGTCCGAGGTATTCAACTTTTTATCCTGTAAAAATAATAACTATGGCATAATGTAGTCCAGTGGTTCTACCCGTTCCTTTCTTGTGGGTGTAAGAGGCGACTAAAGTAACTTTATGGTAGAGGGATGAGCAGCAGCGTCCCTCTTAAAACATCCCTAAAAGCCTAACTGCGGTTGCCAACCTGTCTGTTAAGTATGACAATTACTGGCAAAACTCCCCTTGTGGGGAAGGCCCATGTTCAGCAATGAACAATTACCGGTTGAAATGATAATGAACGTAGTCCAGAGTGGTCGAGAGTTTTTACTTTCAGAAGGTTTTCATTCTCTTTTCCGTCGGTCATATTTATAGACTTCATTATCTCTGTGTTCGCTTAAGACAGATTTGTCACATATTGTGGTATTATGAAAAAAAAAAACTTACTTTCACATTTCTTGCCATCAGAATGCAACTCGTATCCAATATCGCAAGCGCATTCATATCCACCCAATGTGTTAACGCAGGAGTGACTGCAACCGTGTTCTATTGATGCGCATTCATCAAATTCTTTCATGAAGGTTGCGGAAAAACCTGCTTTCTGTACCGTACTGTCTGATTCGAAGATCACTAGTAATTTGTTTGAGGTTGATCTGCAAAATGTAAAGGAATATCATGAAGGATCAATGCCACATTAATTTAATATTATACATTATTATTGTTGGCTGTGTGGTCCCGGCATAGAACAGACCACCTCTTCCTTTACCATGGGTGTTGCAAAAGCCGACTAAGGGCAAGGGTTGGGCAGCAGCGTCCTTCTTAAAATGTGTCTAAAGCTTGACTGCGGTTGCTAATCCGCCTGCCAAGCAAGGCAACTACCCCAAAAGGGGGAGGCTTATGTCCAGCAGTGGACTATTAAAGGCTGATATGATAATGATGCTGATTATTATCGCTTGATTTTTTTTTTATTTAATATACAATGGCAATCAAGCTGACAGCCCTGATAGGAATTGCTAATCGTCGCCTATACACATGAACAGTACCATAGACATAACAGAGTGTACTGTGTCGCCCATGATATCCTTCACGCGTTGCCATTCCTGAGGACTTAAGTGTTATTCCTCGGTACCCAGTTTATTCACGCCATATCCCACCCTTCAAACCGAAACACAGCCATGCAAACACAACTGCTTCACGGTTGAAACACGAATGGGACAGAAGTATCCAAGCAATCGACTTTTGTATAAACAAATTGAAACTATCACAAGTGGTAATTGTGCCACTTATGTTGCTATGGTAATTAAACCGCTTGAAGTTGCTGCATATTATAATTGTTCATGGTGAAGTTAAAATCAGTCGTATGTTAATCTACCCATGTAATAGGTTGAATATGTTATGATATAAAAAAGTTGTGAATCAATAATTGAAAATTGTGTCCCACAAAAAAAAAAATACTTGAACTGACGGAGTTATGAGGTAACAAACATAAAAAAAATGCAAATGAATTGAGAACTAAATTTTTTTCAAAGTCGATTGAAAATAAAAAAAAATAACAAATTTTTACTTAAAATACAAATAATAATAAAATAATGCAGCTTTCTACAGCTGACATAATTTTTAAAATCGGTTGAGGTGTTTTTTTCTTTATCCAATACAAATATACAAATAAAAAAGTAAATAAATCCTTCCCCTTTATAATTTATTTATTTATAGCAAAGTAACAAAGTACAAATTAATACATAAGTAAAATAATTTTAATAAAATACATATAATCTAGAAAATATATATAGTAAAATAGTCTAATAACTGTTCTGCATAACATTCAATATTATAAACATTAAAAGAATAGCGACTGTGGAGTACATGCCACATATATTATTTATAGCTATATATTATTATTTACCAAATTCGAAATTGACACGCATATCTATTGTTTCCTTTTGGCTTTCTTTTACGGCCCTAGTCTTCTAAGTTCCTTTGACTATTATATACTTATTTCCAATTTCCATTCCTTGTTTCCTTTGTCGCCCACAGCGACTATAGATTTAAAGTAATAAATTGGCAGCCTTAATGTAACATTGGAAGGATTGTTGGAAAATATCAAGGTCCTTACGTACATTGTTATATTTTGTACATATGCGGATAATATTAGTATATATAAAATGTGACTTTGTAAAGCTATTAAAAAGCGCAATTTTAATGCAAGATAAGTCTTTGTGCATCTGAAGGATCTATTATAAATTCACAATGTAAAGACGTCTAAAAAGTAATGCAAATCCTTAAAGCAAATAAGAATACGGTTAATCCGTCTAGTCTCTTTCTTATTATGTTAAGTAAAAGAAGTTATAAAGACAGACTTTATTTTATCTAAATTTAAATGTAAGTAAGGGAAAATAATCCTTTTTGTTATTCCTTTCGAATTTAAGAATCTTGACTTCGTAATGTTGCACATATTATGTATGTTATAAAAATAAGTTTTTAGATATTTATTTACTTATTTTTATACAGAAAATTATTTATATTTACATTCAGAGAAGCGTTTTATATCATACACTACGTTATATATCTTACAAATACCTTACTGTACTTATATAATTGTATCGTTGTGTTTGTAAATTGTCTTGCTTATTTCCTATATTGTATAATGCAAATAAAGTATACTCATTCATTCATTCAAATAAAAAAAAAATTCCAAATCGATTTATAACCGACGGAGTCATGAGGTAACAAACATAAAAAATACTTTTTGAAGTCGATTGAAAAAGGAAAAAATATAATATACCTGATATCGGGTGGTATCTTGTGTCCACAGAACATTCCTATAAGTGGACTATCCATTGAGTCACCATCTCTTACTTTCACTTTATCGTACGAACATGTATCATGATTCTCCACTTCGAACGAATGGAATCTTAAAGCCACTTGGTAGTCCTGAGGAAAAAATTATATTTTACTAAAATAATAAATTTATTCGGGTTATTACCAAATTTTACTTAAGTATATTTTTTTTACAAAATCAGGAAATACTAGAGGGAGACTGTACAAAAGTCGTTTGTTTGGTTACCTCTGTTCCATTCGTGTTTCTGCAATGAAGCAGTTGTGTTTCGGTTTGATCGGTGGGATATGACAGTAAAATTATAGGGCACAGAGGCGTAACACCTTAGCCCTTAGAAATGACAATGCATGAGGGGTATCATGGGCAAAATAGTATTCTTTGTTATCCATGGTACTCTTTTTACACCATTGATGTATTTATTGATTGTTGATTTATTATTTAAAAATTGTGTCCCCCAAAAAAAAAACAGACTTTAATTGTGACAAACCCCAGTTATTTTAATTTAAAACTAGACTGTTAGACAATAGTTTGAATTTGAAATAAAATTTTTACGGAACCAATCTGTAATCAATCTTTTGAGATAAAAAAAAGAATTTTTCTAATCGGTTTAGAATTGATGAAGTTACAAGGTAACTGACATAAAAAACATCCGAATTCAGAACCTCCATTTTTTGAAGTCGGTTGAAAATAATTAAACACGTAATAATTTCTTCTATCGTTGTTTTAATATGTACAAAAAGGATTTTATAGATTTCCATAAAGCAGTAGATAAATACAGAAGGATGACAATAATTAGCAAGTTATATGTAGATTTATAGATAGGCAGGCGGCCGGTCGTAAAACTAAAAACCAAATCTTTTTGTAATATGGATAAAATCATATTACGCCGACCCCAAATGATTGGAATAAGGGTAGGAAGATGATGATGTAGATTTATAGATAGTTTATTTTTATTATCATTGTTATTATTCAATATTTTAAAAATAAAAAAAAAAAAACACTTACTTGCGGTACTGAGAGTCTCCAAATGCAAAGTTTATTCGGTTGGTAATCGTCTGGGTAATTCGGCGATTCCAAATGTCCGCTGCTGTCCACCTCAATATCTCCACCGCATACCGCTGATATAAAAAATAAATAGATCGCTTTTAAAATTTACCGTACCACGCCACGATATGATATCGTACGATTTTACCGTTATGACATAATAAGATGCAATTGTATGGAGATACAATTTCTAAACAGAATGAGTTTAATTATATTCGGTCGCTGGAATCAAAACTGTTTATTTATAATTAAGTATATTTAACTATGCCGTCGTATATTTATATTTTATTTATTATATTTATTTTTTATTTTATTATTAATAATGGGTATCGTAAAAGTCGACTAAGGGAAAGCGAGGGATGGGCAGCAGCGTCCCTCTTAAAATATCTCTAAAGCCTGCTGTGATTGCCAATCCGCTTGCCAATCATGGCAATTACTGGCAAAACCCCCCAAGGGGGAGGCTTATGTTCAGCAGTGTACAAATAAATTAAATAATGATGATTAATCTTAACTAAGTATATAAAATGAATAAAAAAATACTAAAAAAATAAATTCCGTCTAAACATAATAGAAAATTATTTTAGTAATTTAGACACGTAATATGAAATTGTCAGTAAGTTTACCTTCATAATGTGCCCTAAACCCTCTATGTGGCTTGACTTTCAGCCCAGGCTGGTAGACAACAGTGAGGCGTGAACCACTGGAGCGCATCATGGGGCCCTTCCCAGAGCCACAAATGCGACCAAGGACCGGGGCGTCGGGCATGTAACCGTCCCTTACTTCCACCCACTCAGAACGGCACTCTTCGGATTTGTGGATGTCTATTTCTGTGGAAAGAAATTAGTATATTAGAATTTTGTAAGTCGAAAATTAGGTGCCAGTGATTTTTGCAATAATAGTAATGATAATCGCCGCATATAGGCACGAAAAGTATAATGGACATAACAGAATATCCGAGTACTCGTACCGTGTCGCCCATGATAACTCTCATGCGTTGCTATTCCATTCCATTCAAGTATTATACCTCTGTACCATGTAATTTTGAATTAGGTGAAATACGTTTTAATTCTCAACATAAAAAGTATAATGAATCCTAAGCTTATGTTTTTTTTTATGGGTGAAAATGGTATGGTAACCCCGCCTGCACCAGTGAAGGGTGATAGATGAGAATGAAAACAGGCCAGTTAGTCCATCATGATGAATTCATCAGGAATTAACCATGATAGTTTCCAGGGAGAACCGCGAGGAGGTCGACCTGGTTGGGTATATTGCTAACAATAGGATTCTCAGTATCCATTACTAACAATTCCTTTCCCCCCTAAGCTTATGTTAGTAAGTTAGTTTTATTAGTGAGTCCGTGGTTTTAAAACATATTGCAGATAGGCACTCTTTTTAATTTTTGTTCCAAACAGATTGACCAATTTCTGTGTTGTTCTGATTTAGTATTCTGATTTAGTCGACTGATTTAATCGACATTTGTCTTTTATTGCACATTTTCAATATTTTTCACCGCATAATTACATTTCTGTTTTTCCAAATGTTAGCCGGGAGAGAATGCTATAAGACACTAAATTCACCTTTTGTATCGAAAATTTTTTTTTGTATTGTGGTCAATAAAAAATAAATAAATAAAAATATGATCGTGTGGTCCCGACAGATTAGGCCACTCCTTTCTATCTCGAGGGTGTCGTAAGAATCGACTAAGGAACGGCGAGGGATGGGCAGCAGCGTCTCTCTTAAATTATCTCTAAAGCCTGACTGCGGTTGCCAATCCGCCTGCCAAGCGTAGCAACTACTGGCAAACCCCCCCCCCCCCCAAGGGAGGCTTATGTTTAGCAGTGGACAATTAAAGGCTGATATGATGAAATAAAAATATAGAACGATGACGATTGTAAAGAGAAGTTAGAAAAGTTTGTAATATGCTGACAAAGCAGGATAAAATTCTATTCTATTCTATTCTATTCGACGGGATATGTTAAGTTTACCTGTCATTTGGACTGATCCTGCTCATGGATTGGACACAGAATTTAGTTTCTGCTAGAATTTCGTACACCTTCATATAAATAAGATATGAAAATGTTGTTTTTTTTTTTTAACCTTAATTACATGTACTAAGTTACAGAAACACCTAGACTGTAAAATGAGGAAAATTAAAAAAAAAAAAACTTTTGATTAACACCGTGTAAACCAATTAAAAAGATGAATTTCATTAAAACAGGGATAAATCTTAATTGCCTTAGTACTTTTAGATACTAATTTATACAAAAATTGTGACTGAAACTGTGATTTGTGTGGGTGTATTAGATGTCTAACACACCCACGCACAAACACGATGTGGGCGAAATAACATTATTTCTGTAATAGCAATTCGAAGTACTGTTAATTAAGCGGATATTTTTTTTCATATTTAACTGTTACGCATGTCAAGCATATTTTCTCGTGTGCATTAGTGTAGGTCGCCGTGTGGTCCCGGTATAGAATGGGCCACCCCTTCTTTTCCCGTGGGTGTCGTAAGAAGTGACTAAGGGAGCTTGATTGTCGAGGGATAGGCAACAGTCCTCTTAAAACATCACCAAAGGCCTATTACTACAACGTCAGTAGTTAATATTATATATGATGGGGGATTTTTTGAGTAAATTTTATGATAGTTGAGAAAAACGGTGAGAATAGCAATTCTGAATGTTCAGCAGTGGATAGTTAACGGCTGTTATTATGATGATGATGATGATGTATTTATGTTCTTTTTATATATAATACATTTTAATATATTTTTTTTTATTTAGTAAATTTTATACCATATTTTATACCATATTTTATAAATTAAGCTATGTAGAAAAACTTGAAAAGTATTAATTTCACTCAAGAATTTAATTTCGGGGTTGCTCGACATAAGACAGTTTTTATTCAATATTATTTTCATAATTTATAAGTAATTCTTTGAATTTCTCTCCATAAAAAATCTATTTTAATTGCGATAAAATATATACATGACACCAATACGGGAGTAAAACTTTATGATTGCAAAAAAGAATCATCAGAATCAACGAAAATATCATATATTCAACAAACGCATAGAATTGTCCTCTTTATTTTTTGCACTCGGTCGAAAATCCGATCGAAATTCATGATAATCTCAAATATCGAGAAACAAGTTTTACAACTTTGAATATCGTCCGAAAGTTAACAGAACTCGGAATTATCCATAATACGTATACCGACTTACAGACCGCTTAAAGTTACCGTGACACGATACCCCGGAAACTTTACAAGCGGGTTCTTGTCGAAGAGCGAGCGTGATTTCATTTCAGAAACTATTGCGCTGATTTGTGACTTTATTTCTGTTTCTTGCTAGATTAATGGCTGTTCAATACTGGCAATCGTAAACTAAGCTTATAGTGGCCGGTAGGAATTTACGATTGCCTCTGCTAACTCACCAGTCAAACTTGACCTTCCAGTTCTCCCATAGGCCGTGAAAACAGAAACGACTTTGAAGAAAAATTGCACAAAGCAGAGCTCTATTTACACAGGAAAGTTTGCACCGAACAGAACTGGCTGGCCACTAACGAAACGAATCGAAGTGGAAACTTATTGCTTGCGATGCCTTTATTTTGAGTGAAAGGTGCTCTTTATTGAATAACAGGGGAGAAGAGCAGAATCGCTCTTTGAAGACAAAAAGATAAATACAAAATTGGTAGACGTTCATCGGAAAACTCCATTGAAATTGTAAGCATGAGGTAATAATAGGCAATTTATTTGTTTATTTACATAGCCTATGTGCTTTGTAAATTTTGTAAATTGTATTTTACAAATCACTGGTTTGAATTTTATATGTTATTTTTTTGTGACGTGAAATGGCTGAACAAACAAGCTGATTGTCCACTTGATGAAAAGTGATAAATGTCGCTTATGGGCAGAAATGTTTTTTTTTCTAATGGTAAGCGGATATTGTTATTATATTTATTATTAATAAACACAATTATGGAAAATTCTCTGAAATCATTAATTCTCACGATCAGACATTAAACGCTATAACATCAAAGAGTAATGCTAGAGTTTAAAACAATTATATACCAGGATTACATGTAAAAGGTCTTAAATTATAAAAAAAAGCTTTTACATTAATGGGAGTCGTAATTATAATACTTCGCCAATTTTATTCACGATACTATTTTTTGTTTTTCCAAAAGATTACAGCATGGGGTTCTCCAAAAAAAGGGTATAGAGATTTCTTTAAGGTCGACAACGCGCGCGTGCAATCTCAAGTATTGCAGGTGTTCATAGGCTACGGTAACTGCTTACCATCAGGTGGGCCGTATGTTTGTTTGCTACCTTAGTAGTATATAAAAAACCTTACTTATCTATCTACTCACTACTATTACGAATATAAACGAGTATAACAACATCTGTCGGTCTTTCATTACATTTCTTACTAATATTATAAATATGATAGAAAGCGAGTCTGTTTAATACTTTTGGGCGCCTTAACGGATCAACCAATTGGAATTAAATTTCGTATACACTTATCCTCTTATTTATAAAAACATCAAGCCAATTTTCAACTGACTTCAAAAATGAGATTCTCAATTTGATTGTATGTTTGTTAAATCTGTTAGTTGTATATCGATTTAAAAAATTCTTTTTTTTCTGTAAGGAAATATTTACAGATCCCTTAGACATTTCTACAGGTCTCATAGACATTTTATTAAAATCGGTTTAATAGTTTAATTATTACACCAAAATAACTCGTTTTGTCAAAATGGATATCGGTTTTTTGTGGGACAAAATATTTAATTAGCTATTGAACTATTTAATTAGCTATTGAACTATTAAATTAGCTATTGAACTATTAAATTAGCTATTGAACTATTAAATTAGCTATTGAACTATTAAATTAGCTATTGAACTGTAAAATTAGCTATCGAACTGTTTAATTAGCTATTGAACAGTTAAAATAGCTATCGAACAGTTAAATTAGCTATTGAACTATTTAATTAGCTATTGGACTGTTTAATTAGCTACTAAACTGTTTAATTATCTATTGAACTGTTTAATTATTTATTGAAATGTTTAATTAGCTATTGAACTGTTTAATTAACTATTGTCTCTTTCTTTTGTGTTAAATTTCTATTTTAATAAAATTTAATAATCAACGTAATAGTAAAATAGGCTTATGAGAGGTTTTAGTTTTTACGAATAAGAAGAGTTAGTATTTAGGAAGCAGATAATTATATGCTAGTTCTATCCCGGTCAATTAGTATATCATGGTCATACAGACGAAATAACAGGTAAAAACTAGTTAATTATAAAATGTATAGTAATATATAATATTGTGTATAAAGTCGAGTTAATTGCAGCTCCTACGCTATAATTTCCATCAGTTGGCATCGATCAATCAGCACCCCATTCCGCTAATTGCTGTCTAACCCAAATTACTTTGGTTTTTATTGCATTTCATTTCGTGAGAGTAATATATATATATATATATATATATATATATAGAGCTAACAAAATATTGCTCTGAGTACTGATCGTTGATTATACTCGTAATTGCATGCCTAAATGTTCAGCAGTGGACAGTTAACAGTTGATATGTATCTAATTGTTTAGTTTTGGTATGCTAAGAAAAATTAAAAGATGTGGAAAAGAAAAATATATTTTTTTCCCGATCAGCATATGACTAACATAGCCTGAATGATGAGCATGCTGAGGTGGCAATGGTCTGGTTACATAGCTCGAAGAATCAATAATCGATGGCGAAGAAAGGGTCTGAGTAGCGACCTCGTACAGGCTAACGAAGTGTTAGTAATGGAGACTAAGAATCCCATTA